AGTGTTATTAGAGGAGTCCTTAGTTGGGCCGTGTTAAAGAAATCTATTTTTTTTCCAATTCTGAGTTGATTTTCCTACTAATTCCTAAAGATTGATTAATACTGTTAAAGATTGATTAAAAAATATTTTCCTTTGGCTACCATTACTTTATTAATTTTTCTGTTGATGGTGAATATAATACTACTATCAATATGCTAACATAACAACACAGAAGGGCTGCAGCCATCAAATATTTTAGTAATCAATTCATCTTTTGATTATTTTCTTTAATTAATCAGTTGATCTCAAATGGTATAATTTTAATAAGTTAACATTTCTAAATAAATCAATGTTTAAAAAAAAAAAAAAAAACTTTGTTGTGAATTTTAGTCATTAAGTAATTAAATGTCAACAGTTAGGGTTAGGGTTAATAATAATATAGTAATAATGAGTACTTCTCTAAGTTTGGTAGTTAACTAGTTTGTAGTTCCAACTACTTATATATATTTCATAAAAGTTTCTGGTATGTTTGTCATTTATCTAATTTCTGCTGTTTTAGTTTGATCAATCTCTTTTTTTTTAATCTTTTGCAGTTGACCTCCTGACCCCCCAGCACTGGTACAACACTTCCTCTGAGGCCCCGCCAGGCTCTGTCATCAAAGGCGAGAGTTTTAATATTACTTGTTCCACCCCCCGACAGTACCCCGGCGCTTCCTTCCAGCTCCGATTGGTCCGCTCCAACGGCACGGTCCGGCAGTCACTCCCAGCTGCCTTCCAGTCTGTTACTTTCACCTTCCCCAACGCCCAGAGCTCCAACGAGGGGTACTATTACTGCCTGTATCGGGTCCAGCTGGGCGGACGTACGTTTGTCTCCAGAGAAAGCCAGCCTCTACCTATAGCAGTTAAAGGTGAGGCAGTGTTAAATTGTCTAGATGGGATTCTGGGTGTTCAGAATAAAGTTTGGGCCTGACTCCTCCTACTTTCAGATCCAGATCCGCTCCTAAGCCCCATGGTGATCAGCTGGCTTGTGTCTGGGGTGACTTTTGTCGTAGCTGTCATCATTATTTTAGCTGTGGCGAAGGTTTCGTGTAACAAGGAGAAGAAGCCCTCTGAGTTAGAGCGGGAGACCAGAACCTGTGAGTTAATCTCTGTCAGCAAAGCTCAAGGCTCTAGAACTCCTCCTGTGGGTCCAATTAGACTTACACATGTTCTTCTCTTCACAGGTGTGGACAACACTTACGTTGCCTTATCAGTAGATAAGCTATGACGGAGTCTGCAGGTAACCCATAGTTCTCTGCTTAAGTGCAACCTTTGAACTCCTAGAGAAGATTTGTTAATTTTTCATTTTAGCTTTAAATTATTACATTTTACAGCTGAAAATTAAATCCACCATATAATAAACAGAGTGTCTGACTTTAAAACACTTTTCTTTTTCTTTTTGACACCCTTTTTATCCTGTTGTAGCTTTTAATAAAGCAATTAGCTAATGGTTGCTGCAGGTCAGGCTCTGCAGGATAATCCCAAATGCTGTCAAACGAGCAGCAGGGTGAGATTCACATGGGTGATTTCCATTTCATTAAAATCTTGAGTTTCAAAGGGCACCAGCAGATAATGATCATTTATTATAATTTCTATTGAAGTGGAAGAATGATTTCTATTGATCTGATTTGACTTTTTTATGAAGGAACAAATATTAATAAAATATTATTTGATTTTAATTCATTTAAACTATTTTATTGTTATACACAGGTCTAGAGGGTGCTCCTGTGATTCAATCTCTCAGTGGTGCAACTACAAAAAGAAGAAAAAATCTGAATTAGCAGAACTGAAAGAATGTGGATAAAGATGTTTTGTTCAAGTTGGGCTGAGTTATGACTAGGATAGCTGGAGTTAAATACAACCTGCCACAGGCGGCTACGCTCCACCCCTTCTATTCATTCGGCTAGCTAATCTGAATCGTTCAATTCCTTTTTGAGAGCGAGATCATCTGTGGTAGTAGCACTACACATCTTCCAGGCATGTGAATAAAACTAGCAGCAGTTTAGCAGACAGGATGAACGAATGGTAGCTGGCATGTGCGGACGACGTCATACAAGCGCCGCTTCATTTTTAAAAGATATAAATATAAAAAATATAACCACGGATGTCTGGGGGAGGTGATTCGCTTACATGTTATGAATGCTGGCGTACCATAAAGAATAAATTATGAACAGTTTAGTTTGTGCCTTCAAGTCGTTGCCCATAGGAAGACGTTATAACCTAATGGAATATCTTCAGAACAGCTCCAAATGACACAAAACTCCTATGGGTGAGTAGAACATGATGTAATAACATAAAATCAAGGGCCCAATGTAAAAGAAAAAACAAAAAAAAACAGCATTTCCCTTTAAGGTCCAAATCTAAAATTCAAAGTATTCTAATGCTAGTTTCCAAAGAGCGTTGCGCAAAAATATGAGTGGGTTGATTTGCAAAGCTGGTGGAGACATAACCACGATTTTTGCAGGTGTAATTTTAGTAAATGGTTATTGTAGAAAATCTTGATTAAACAGGGCTAAATACAATGTACATTTTAAATGCAACAACCAGAAGTCAAACCGGGGTTCATATTCATTCTGTAGTATGACCCATGACTCTATCCATAAAATCCAAGCAAAAAGAAGGTTGCATGTCTTAAATCAAAAGGTTCAGCCGATATTTTTAAAGCACTTGTTACTTTATTTATACCTTCATTGCGCTAATCAGATTCTCCTCTTATTATTATTTTAATCAGATTTAAAGGTGTGGACATCATGAGGCATCCAACCATCTCCAGGTATATTTGAACTGCAGCAGATATGCATCAGAAGCCAGAAACCTGCTAATCACCAGCTACTGATGGTTGCTGGAGCCGTTTTACGACGGTCTGGATGAGACAGAGACTCTTATTCAACACTACAGCGACATTTTATGAGACTGCATTGGCTTTGCATCCTTATGGGAAAACATCATAGGTGATATTCCACACCATGCAATCATAATGTTTTTTTTTTATAGTAAACATACTGTACTTTTAACATGTCTAAGTTAATTTTTTCTGGTTTCTCTCTGTATGCATTACTTATGTTGTTACTAACACCAGGACCACGTTTCAGAAAGTGGGATAAGTGAGAACTCAGAATAGGTTATGGGGTAAATCACTGGATTTTTATTTGTTTGTTTCAAAAAGCCACATAGCCGGTTATCCAGTTACTTCGTGAACCAACTCTAGTTGGGATTTAGATTTCTTGAAATCATCTTGAGTCTGTCACACATTTGAGCTGAGATTAGAAACATTTGTCTGATGTTGGAGAGCAAAGACTCTTTATCCTCCACATATTTAGAATTTTACATACTGATTCATAGATTTTTCTTTAGCATCACGGTTTTCACCAGAGTCAGTAATTAGTCTTGATAAAATGAAAAACAAGTACTCTGTGCTTCACTTAGTGTCAGCTCAATCTGCCATCGGATCCAAAACAATTCATAAATTGTGTCATGTAGTACTCATTTAGTCTTTTTCTCCTAAATAGTTTTAGTTTTGATCAGTCCTTATTTATAAATAAGTTTTGCTGACAGAAAAGCTTGAAAAATTTAGCGTTGTATAATAAGTTTATTACACCTCAACAACAAAGTTTTCTGTTTCCTTGTTTTAAATCCACAAGATAGATAAGATAAAAATTCCACAGCTATCAGTGAAAATATTATAGCTGTTATCACATTTTGAGATTTCAAACAATATACATTTTTGTATTTCAGTGTTTCCAGGCATAAGTGGTAGCATATATAGTGTTCTCTTTCATTAAACACATTTACTTGTAAAAACACCTCGTCCAGCTGTTTCATAGGAAGGGACAGAAACAAATCTTAATATCAGCTGAATGTTTGCTATTTTTCATATTAACTCATGAACCAAGGTTTAACTACATACATATTAATTTTACTTTGCGTGTAAAACTGGGGGCTGCACTGTAGAGCAGTGGGTAGCACCAGGTTTGATTCCCGACCGAGGTCTTTCTGCATGGAGTTTGCATGTTCTCCCTGAGGATGTGTGGGTTCTCTCCAGGTACTCCGGCTTCCTCCCACAGTCCAAAAACATGACTGTTAGGTTAATTTGCTTCTCTAAATTCTCCTTAGGTGTGCGTGTGTGTGTGAATGGTTGTTTGTCTCTGTGTTGCCCTGCGATGGACTGGCGACCTGTCCATGGTGTATCCCGCCTCTCGCCCATTGACTGCTGGAGATAGGCACCAGCACCCCTCATGGCCCCAGCAGGGATAAGCGCGACAGGCTGATAACTGAACCATCCCTTATTTAAATTGATCTTGATTTAGTACTAAATCCTTTTAGTACCTGCTGGTTTAAAGCTAAACATATTTCACACACAGAGAATTACATTCTTTTTTAATGTTAAATTAAAAGTAGTGTTAAGTAGAAAACTTAATTCTCTATCAACCACTAATGCACCAACTGATCTCTGCAGAGTTACATCTTGAGGCTTATTTCCTCCGTTGCTATGGTGGATTATATTTTCTGCACTCCATTCATGGCTTCAAATTATGCCCCTGTTTACCCTGAACTGACATCACTCTTGAATATCACAAATTCAAATTAGTTGCTTGTAAGATAACTGCACACTACTCAGAATAGTTTCATCTCACTTTCTGAAACAAGGAGCTGGTGAACATTTTATCAGCAGTATCTACGCACTTATTCTCAGAACAATAACTATTATAAAATGTATTTCAAGACTAACACTTCTATGCATCTTTTCTCTTTTCCATAATGCACTTGTTTTTTTTTTTAAATAGAATCTATAGTTGATTAAAATAAAGTGAGAACTTTGTGTTAGACAATGGAAACAAGTTACTGATGGTACTTTTCTTTGGACCAGACTACAACACAAGGCTGCTAGGTGCCTCGTTTGGTAGCCTGCTATTTGTTTTTTTGTATGAGTTATCCAAGTCTAAGGCACCTTTGTTCCTGAATAAAAGACTTAAAAGTTTAAATTCTTACATTACAAGCTCTTTATTATATTTATTTATGAAAACCAAGTACAAAACAAATTACATCCTCTGAATATGTGGAGAATGTAGTATAAAAGTGCTGCACCTCTGTGAAAAGCATAAACTTTAAAGCATCACAGCATTTTTTTTACTTCGAAAAACCTTTCGTGTGTCGAACACTGAATGCAATTTACAATTTCGTCAGAATCAATATTAAAATGTAGAGGCACTTGAATTTAAGTCTTTCCCAAATATATATTAATGGTAATCGTCAGCAAAAAGGAGGCAATGTTGCTGCTTAAAATATTAAAATTTAATGCAATTCAGAAGAATAAACAAATCCGAATTCAGAAAAGGTTTTTGGAAAAAAAAAATTTGCTTTTAGTAAAATTTTCTACCCATTACTTTAGTGTGCAGACATTTCCCTGGGAGTTCAGATGTTACACAGATGGGATCCTCTGGCTTCTACTAGAACTGGGATTTCTTTTTAAGGATTGAAATATCAATTTAGATCAAAACACAACATTTTAATAACACAATAAAAATTCTACTTTTTCCAAATCCATAACATTGGTAAAAATGCATTTCCTTCTTCTAGGCCAAAATGGCAGGAGGACTTGGAGTGCATCAGACAACCCTACAATTATGTGATTAATGGAGAGCTGCTATCCAAATACAAAAAAAACCCAAACCTAGCTTGCTTTGTTCTGCAGTTTGACTCACAGGCGTTTTGTAGTGAATCAAGGAGGTTGTATTTTGCCCTTACATGTAGAGTCATGCAAAAAAGAACGGACATTCCTATTAAATCAACAGCTTTTTTTGTTTTCTCTCCATGTTAGCCTTATTTTTTGACTCAACATGGCAGAGAGGTTTTGTACTCTTTAAGTTACATAAAAAACTATATGGTTTTTAAGGTAAAACCTAAATTTAACAGGGTGTACTTTTTTAGCAATAATTGCAGCTTAGGTGCAAACAAACTTTAGCTTACAAAAAAAAAGAAGACAAATATTGCATCAACCACAATTTAGGCAGTCTGAATTCCCAAGATACATTTACCCATTTTAAATGCAAATTAAGTATACCATCCCTATACATCCAACCAAAAAAAAAGAGAGAAAAATCACACTATTCCTTTGATTGATTCGTTTGTCTCCATGCTGGAGAAGACCAAGTAGAGGAAGACTGCCAGACCCAGGAAGAAGATGAGCTGAAGCCACAAAGGGATGAGACGGGACGACTGGGCCTTTGGTACCTCCGACTTACTGGCTGTGGATTTTAAGTAGGAGTTACTGTAGGTGGACGGTGTGTCATACATGTTGGGCCTGAAACAACAAGTCAGGATATGGATGATATTTCCTCATGTATCGACTTGAACCTAAAAAGATAACAATTTAGTCTACAACACTCAGATTCATTCAGATTTGAATTAGTCCACAATTATGTCACATTAATCAGCCAAATTAAAAGTTAGGCATACTACAGCATTCTTTATTTTACCATTATAGCAGAGGCACTCAAGTCGACTTCTCAAGAGCTGCCCTCCTATGACTTTTAAATGCCGCTCTTCTCTAAGGCTACGTTCACACAGCTGCCTGAAGTGACCCAAATACGATTTTTTTTCCTCATATGCGACCTGTATCTGATCTTTTTTTATGGCAGTCTGAACAACACAGATCTGACTTTTTCCAGTGCGACCGAGGCCACTTGTCTATGTGGTCCTGAATCCCATATGAATCTTGATCTTTTTAAATGCCACCTGTGTCTGAACGGCCAGGTCGCATTCATCCGACCTGAACGCCATTAATACTCAACAAAGGTCACTATTCTGCATCTTGCTACGCAGAAGCGGCTAGAAAAACAACAACCATGGTGGATGATAATGCGGAGAGTAGTATTTATGTTTAACCATATTGAAAAGATTGATTTTTTTTAAGGTTGGGAAAGATGGCTAGAAGTGCTCCAGCACTACCATCCATGTTTACTTCCGTAAACACAGAGCACGCTTGCTTGTGACGTCATTTCGCTCTCTACTATGCATGCGGGAAACTTGTGTTGTATGAATGCAGTTCAATCAGGAGATTACATATAAGTCGCATATATTTGCAAATGTGAACGGCAACGCAAAAAATAAAACATAAAATTTGGATTTTCACAAAAAATCTGAATTGAGCATTAAGGCCTGCAGTGTGATTCTAAAGGCTTAGTCCCCTCATTTAGCTCAGCAGAGGCATGGTAACAAGCCACTCGTTTGATTCAGGTGTGTTAAAAATGGGCCGCAACAAAAAGTTCAAAGGATAGTAGCTCTTGACGACTGTACTTTTGCACCTCTGAATTTACGTAATAAAACAGTAAGTAACTAAAACTACCAACTAACTACCAAGTAACTACATGAATGCATTTGTTGAGGCATTTGAAAACAGCAATCAGCTAATGCCCCCATCTCTGAACGCATCCTAACGCTACCAGACTGAAAACGGAAGCCCTTTGTACGAGTAAAGATGTAGAGTGAATTAAACTTGGATGTTCAGTGAGAAATAGAATTAAAAAATAAAATTTGCAGATGCGCATATAAGTGGCTAATGGCTAGTGTATACTAGGGTTGTCACAATACTAAACTTTTCAACTCGATACGATACTAAGTAAAATATTTGATACTCGATACCCTTTTCGATACCACAACAATAAAAACAAAGACTCTAAAGTTCAACAGAAATATTTTCATTACTAAAAAAATACAATAAATAAAAAAACAATAAGAATAATATTTTGAGGTTGTATGCTGTGCACAATATTAAGCAAGCTTGGTAAAAAACTTACAAAATTAAAATTAAGTGTTCCTTCCTTGGCTATGCTTTGCAGACATAACAATGACACTAGCCAAACCGGTTAAACAAAAATAATTCTCAGCAGCTGCACCTGTTACAAAAAAAGTCTGAAACTGAAAAATGCAAAGAATTATTCAATCACAGTGTTCAGAAAGTGCATTTTCCACTATTCTGCACTTTAGATGGCTGTATCGATACTTTTAAAAATGAGTATTGTATCCGGATACAACGTTTCAGTATCGATACTTTTGACAACCCTAGTGTATACTAAAAAAAATTTTGTTAAGTATAAACTCTGTGTATACAAAATGACAATAAAAGTTGTCGAAGCCTAAGCTACAGCGATATAAGTAGCCACTTAAAAGCAAGATGGTTTTCTATAATTGAGACAATTCTGCTGAGCCTGCAGGAGAACCTGACTTTAAGCTCAAAAGAAACATCTGCAGAGCTACTTTGTTTGATCCTTTTGAGATTGGGTTGCAGAAGCTATATTAGATAAAGAAGTAAAACTGATGTCTCTACCCCCAAAAATAAAGGTAGATTTCATAATGTCTTTATATAACCTGCATTTACAGTAGACTGATTTTTTTTTAAACTTTTGGGTTGATATAGATTTGGCAAAAACTGGCCATGTTCCACAAACCGAAAACAGGAAGCCGGTTTCTGCATCTTGTCTCACTATTTGAGGAACCTATGTAATAAGATTTAACTTCTAGGGTAATATTGGAAGAATCTAATGGAGGTTAGCAGAAGGAGATGCTACACTTGACACTAAATCATTTTTCACAGATACTTACGTATAACCTCTTTCTCTGTATTCAGGTTTTGACTTCGAGTAGCTGGAGTAGGACCTGCAGACAATCATATGACAGTGTAGCTGTAGAAAGAGTTTTTCTTTATAATATAACCTTTTAATTTCAAGAACTGAATTATAACTTACTCGTTTTGATATTCCCTCTCACTCCATTCTGTCTTGGATCTCATATAGGGCTCCCTACAACAATAAGACACACTGGTTTATGATTGCTTTCATTAAGTAAATACAGTGTGGAAATAAAACAAAGAAACTGACCCTTCTTCATACATCTCACTTCTGGGCTGACAGGAGAGAGAGAAAGTTAAACACGTGTACTGCCATCTACACTATAAGCTGTTTCTACTTTTAGTTCATTTGTTTAGGATTTATTTTTAAAATAAAGATAATATTGAATCGTTTTAGTCAAGACAAATATTAAATGTGACTGTAGTGAAGTAAAGTGAAGTAAATATCACTTTGCAGGATCCAGGCCTAACTTTGATAAACACAAACCCTTAAGTAGAGCTTAAAGATACTTACTGGTGTCCTGTAAACATAGGTGACCTCCTCCTCTGTAACAAAAAACAAAGATCATATTAAACTTAAAGCTCCAGCGCATCCATAACATTCCTGCAAATACAGCCTGCTGTCTGGCAGCAGCTCTTCCACTCAGATCTGCTACTCTTAAAGTATGAATGGTATATGGTAAATGGCATGTACTTATATAGCGCCTTTATTCAAGTTAGGAGACTTGACCAAAGCGCTTTACACTACATTCATTCACCCATTCACACACACACTCACACACTGATGGTGGCAAGCTACATTGTAGCCACAGCTGCCCTGGGGCTCACTGACAGAAGCGAGGCTGCCGTACACTGGCGCCACCGGGCCCTCTGACCACCATCAGTAGACAATGCGGGTGAAGTGTCTTGCCCAAGGACACAACGACAATGAAAGTCGGAGTCGGGGCTTGAACCGTCAACCCTTCGATTACAGGGCAAACTCCTACATCCAACGCCACTGTCGCCCACGGTCATTTAAACATTTTAATTAAGTGCTGACCAACCAATTCTAATTCAAGTTCCTTACAGTTACATTTAGGACTCCAAAGACCTTTAAATGACCAATTAAATATTTAAATAATTTGTATTTGACTTATTTCTAATCATTTCTGAACGGTTGTCAGTTATGCTACTAAGTTGATGTTTTTTTTATTTATATTTTTAAATAAGACACTTTTAAGAACAGAAATTTGAATTAAAAAATAAAAAATAATGTATTACGTGAGCATACGTACAAATTTAGGATGTAACAGAATATAATTAAGGACCTAGTGTATAGGAATATTCAGACATTTTAAGGCCTTGCAGGTCCCATATTATGCAAAATTCACTTAACATTTTCCAACAGCCATATTGGTCCAGAAGCCTGTGCATGAGGTTCAAAAAATGAACCTGATACTCAGGCTAAACCTGCCCTCTAGCATCTTAGCTAACACATTTCTCTGCTAAGCTAAGCCAAGCACAGCAGCTGCACTGTTAATAGCTGCATTGAGACAAAAGTCTTCTTTTTTTTTTTTTTTTCCCTCAGCCTGTAAATATGTTAGCACTGCAGATAATGTTTGTAGCGTTGGTTGTTTTGATAAGTTTTTTATAAGATGGATAATCTCTGTTCTTCACAGAGAGACTTTTCTTAACATCTGCAGTAACTCTGATTGTGTGCTTGTGTTAAATCACTTTTTTACTAGCAGCTCTGTTGGTCCATTAGAGCAGATAGAGGCCACAGCAGTTCAGGCTAACTGACTACTGGGTGTATTGTTTGTTTATTAAAAGGTTGTTTACAGTTTACGGTTTCCAGCCTTCCCTTGGAAAACAGGATGTATTTAGAATAAACACTCTGGGTTCTGTACTGAGATTATTAGAGCGACATTTTTCCATATTTCTAATTGAATAAAAAAATCTGGATTATTGTTTTTAACAAAATAAATAAATGGCATTGAGCAGGTATATGGTCAAGATGCTCGTGTAATACACTTTAGACAGATTTTATTTGTCATTTTGTTTACACAAGTGTAAAACAAAAAGTAATTTCGTTTGGAAACAGCTCACTGGACAATTTTATCTTTTTATAAGTGCAGCCTTGAAAAATAGTAAAAATGACTGTAAATTTACAGTCCTAACATTTTTTTGTTATGTATTCTCATCACTAATACGCCTCTCAGAGCGGTCTGTTACAGCCTATCGTTAAGGTCGGCCTTTTTCTTCCGTCATATTTGCTCTCCTAGCCGCCATCATTATGAACTCTGACTGGTAGTCATGGTTGTGGAGTTGCTGCCTTCGGGAGAGCGAGGGTTTGGAAAACAAAACAGCTCATTTAGAAGAGGGCTGAATGAGGAGGTTTGCTGCTAGATGCTAGCTGTGTTCACTTCCAGTGGCTGCATCCTTTAAAGGACCCAGCCTACCTGGACTGGCTCCTTCAAAGGTAGTTAAAAGAAAATGGGTGGAAGAGTTTGGATATAATAGGGACCGGGTCCAGCCTGCATTGGTCGGCCCTCAAATGTGAACAGACCACTGCAGCGCAACAACGTAATAGGCTGCAGATCTGGCCTTCGGAGGACACAGCCGCTGAATTGGAACACAGCTGCTATCCGAGAGGATTTTTCCTGCTCAAACAGTAAAAACATGCTCTGGAAGGCTTATCGTTAATAACAGTAGAACATGACACCTTTAAATCAACAGAATTAAGTTTAATGCCACCTGAAAAAATCCAACCAAAAAATTAAAGGTCATCCAAGGTCACATATTTGACAGACAGTAACAAAAAAAATGAGATAGCTCCTCATTACATTTACTTCTCTGGGTTATTGTGAAGAAACAGCAAAGCCAAAAAAACTGCTGCTTCATCAAGTTTCACCCTTTACTTATGGCTAAGATTTATGGATCACTACAGAGACAACAAGATCCTAATACAAGGGAACAAACTTCTTCAGCAGGGTAGTAAGGCTCAGCCTTAGAAATAAGACAAGAAGCCCTGCTAAACTGAGTCACATGAGGAGGTGTAGCCATTAGATCAGCCCTACAAAGGAAAGAACCCAGGATTTCTGGAAGGTTAGACCCTGGAGAATAACCCATCTGCTTTCATCTGGTGGATAAATCGGTATAAGAGAAATAAATCTGTGGTAGAATGATCAGAGGCTGGTTTTAAAATGCTGGCATCAGCCATAGATCAAAATTGATTAACTTGGCCTGCTGGAACACAGTAATGGCTGTTATGTAAATGATTTACATAGGGAAATCCTTAAAGAAACCCTGTGAGAAGAGTATTCGGTTACTATACTTCTATATTCTAAAACTAATGCATTTCTAAAACATCAGATTTAGTCTGATGTGTGTTTAAGTCAGCAGCTCATCAGTAAAAGCTCACCCTCCTCTCTGTAGTAGGTTTTGTCAGATGATGGTTTAGATTTCTTCCCTTTGGCCATGGCTTCCTTCAGCTTCTTCACATACAAATTCCTGGTGCTTTCTGTGAGGGAATAAACATTACATACAGGATATTAGGAATATCATTCAACCAAGAAGTCAAATCCCAGGTAGAAACTTCCCACAGACGGAGGGAACGACAGTGGGGGGGCCTGTGAGGTTCACACACACTGACGGTTAATCACACGCTGCTAACTTCACTCACCGACCACAGGTCCGTGTTTGATCCCGTACTCATCTAGCAGCTCGCTGATTTCCTGCGCAGACATGTTACTCAGCGAAGCCATTTCTACCTATTTTTAACAGATTCTGTCTTTAGTTCCGACACAGTTTCTGTTTACACAAAAAAGAAAATCCAGCGGGCTCCTCCTACATACTAAAGCTAGATTTTAATGGCAGCTCGCCGCGGTGAACATTCCTGCTACTTTTCGAATCCTAGCCCCGCCTTTTCAGATTGGTCTCAGACCGAAAACAAGCGCACTTTCAGTTAAACAGAGTATCACTTCCGGTTTTGCTTGTTTTCAGCTATGGTTTTCAGACTCGAAGCAGCGCCACCACCAGGCAGATATGAGTAATGTATAGTGTAACAAAGTAAAGTCAGTAGAAATAATCTAATAATAATATCAGGAAAATTTTTAATTCACAAATTAATCTCTTTTTTAGGAAAATGGTTATGGAAACCAAACTATTTAAATAACCTATCCTTTAGGGGTTAAAGAATTGTTAACACATGTATACTGTTTGTCAATGAATAAATATATTGAGGTTTTCCTTTTTTCACTAGTTTGCTCCCTTTATATTGGCTGTATTGGCTAAAACCAGCCAATCAGCTTTATCCCTGCACCTCTTATGAAGTCATCCAGCTGCAGCATAATTAGTATTTTCTGTGATTTTTAAAAACTTTTATTTAATTTTTTTTGTAAAGTTGGGTTGTGGAAATCCTTACTTAATTACCAAACAGTTTTAATTCTCATTTTACATGTGGAGTGATTGATTTTACTTGAAAAGCATCATATACTGCAGAAACTCAGTGTAATTTCAAGAACAAAAATATTTTATTGTATCTGTGTTTGGTTGAACAGCATTTATGTTTTAATTGCAACAAGATTACTGCACGTCAAAAAAACAAACCAAAAAATCAATTAATTTGTACAAACTCATCAACAGGTAACCTAACCTTTAACACATCAGGGTGTGAAATTAACATAAACGAGTATCCTGTAGCTTAATCTAGTGACAAATTCTGCTTAAGTATCTGGTAAGTCGCATTTTACATTTAAGCATTTTTCATAAAAAAGCATTAAAGATAAGAATGTGTGTATATATACAGGGCATTTCTTCATTTATACAGCAGTTTCTCATCTTATTATGACAATAAATGTGAGATAATGTAGCCAAAATTAGTTTCTAAAAGAGGAAAAGCTCTCTGAGCCACTCAGGTCGGTCTGAAGTCAGCCAGAACATCAGGACTCCTGTCACCGCCGCCGCTCCCAACGCTGCAATCAGCTTCACTGGGCTGAGAGACTGAGAGCAGAGCACAGGACAGTGATATAGAATATAGCCTAGAAAGGAGACACCTTCATTATAGATCTGTGGGTACATACACACCTTGCGTGTTTCTTTGCAGGTCTGTGAGTTATCAATGTCCGCAGGCTTCTCTTCATGCTGAATGATCGGAGGATCACACACAGGTTTTATCTTCAGCTCTTCTTCAGGCTCCTGTGGTTCCTTGGTACAGACAAATCCCTCCATGATAATCATGTTAAGCAGACTTAATGCAACTTGCCATGCTACAACCACATATACAAAAGTGTGTTGTTGCTGCCTTCTAATAGAAATTCAATCGGAACATTTACTGCACCATTGAGCAACATGTATTTATTTCATCAAAATCTTCCCATTGCTTCCCAATCTTTTCCAGATTCTAACTATAGTTTCTGAATTCTCCTTTATTTACACTGAAATTAAATAAATCACAGATGGAGAAGGGGAGCTTTCAAGACAGTATTCACAGGGCCAGTTCAGCTCCTGTCTTTTGGATTGACTGAGATACCGTAGTTCCTCACTAAGTTACTAACTCCATGTAGACGGTATATTTAATTCTGGTGCTTTGAAACAGGGCTTCTAAAACAAGGAGGACATCAGCAGTTGCCTTTAGAGGCCACTGTCTGTCGCATAAAATCCTACTAAAATGCATCTAAAAGTTGAAAGATAATCTCTATAGTGAGATCTGGATCTACTCATTAAGTGGAATGAGTCCATGAAAACCTCCAAAGGAAGACTCCAACGGGACATGCTGATTAGATCCCCCAACCACTTCAAATAAGTCCTTTCAATATGGAGAAACAGCAGATCTACTCTGAGCTCTCCTAGATGTTGGAGCTCCTTAATCTTTCTTTTAAGGCTGATTTATACTCAGGAACCAGGTCGTCTGCATGTGTGTTGCAGTGAAATCCCAGAGTTGCTTTCCCAGCGAGGCTGCAAAGTGGTATTCCACAATAAGTACTGTATACTCTCCAACCTCTTTTTTTATAACGTCAGATATCCATAAAGAACAGGTTTCCTTATAGTGCTCCATCCATCCCCCTATGATGCCAATCCCCACCCAAAAGCATATATAGCCTGTTATGGCCCCCATTTCCACTTTTCTGAGGTAGTCGTCTCACCTGGTAGTCCGGTAGACTTTAACTATTAGTTTCGATTAGGGACCAATAAGGGTTCAGATTTTCATCTGGTGTTGTTTCCATTCCATGCATTTTGTCAAACCGAAACAAACCTTTGCAGTGGTTGGTGAACAACACAAAAAAACTTCCTAGTGCCTGAAAACAAAACATAATGGAATGGCAAATTTTTTTTGCAAGTTTGCCAGAAAAGTATCTTTCAACCTGGGCTCAGCATGAGAGAAAAACAAGATAGACAAGCACAGAGTGTTTTCACTCCAGGCAGGTGAGACGGCTCCAAATGAGGTGGTGAGATGTGAGAAGTGGCACAGTCGACTTATTAGCAGTGATGTCAAGACTGCACAGATGTCCAGAAAGCACTTCTTTATAACCTAATTTGTGTTATCACTTAATTTCAGTAAAATGACAGATTTTAGAGCGGCCTCCAATGCGCTTGGAGCTCAACTCTGTATGCCTACCATGCCAGAATTCATTTCAACCGAGTTGAGACATTGGGTTTTCAGTTAGATTTGATTCTGCTTTTATTGATCTGCATCAAAGTTCAATTGCACATTCATACCTCTCTAAATGAACTGAATTTTCTGGCCAAATGAACTGGCCAAGCAGACAGGGCTGGTGTGAATGTTTTTTCATAAGTTCCTCAAGGCCAAAGTTGGTGGTTTTAACATAGAAAATATAAAAAAATAACAATCATTGATTTTACATGATTTTGTATGAACTGTTGTTTTGTTGCATGCACTGTGTGTGAAAATGAAAATCTACTTACATCAAATTGTACTGGAGAGCTGTTATCCTCCTCCCCGTCTGAGTCGGTGCTGAGGGAGTCTCTGTCACTGCTGAGAGACATCAATCAACCACAAGCTTTTTTACATTGGATCCATCAGGCTGGAATTTACAGATCTTTGCAGAAATGGCTGAATTTAACCTACCTGTCAGTATCATAATAGTTCACTTGAGATAAGGGCTCTGCACAAAACTGAACTTTGATCTGCCTCTCTGAAAACATGCACATTAGGAGAGTGAGACATTTACATGCACTTTATTTGTCTGGGTCCTGAATACTGACCTTCTCGTCCGTTCTCATCATCGCTGTCGTTGTAGAACTTTTGGAAGGCTTCAATTCTCTGCTTCATCTGTTCAAAGTTCCTCCTCTCTTCATATTCATCCTCCTCCTCCTCCTCCACCTCCTCCTCCTCCTGCCCGTCCTCGGGGAAGTTACTGGTTTCTTCGTTAAAGAAGAAGCTGTCGTCGATGGATCCGTGGATGAATGGACTTCCGACTTTCATTTCTTCTCTCTGCACTGCGGAGTAGGTGTTACCATCTTGCTCTGGATGCTGATTTATATCTGAAGGGGGTGAATTTGTGTTGTCTGCAGTCTGCAGGTATTCTAACAGAAAGTTGTTGGTTTCTAATACATCTGACCCTGAAAGAGCTGATCTGAGGAAATCAGCTGAATCATATCTGTCATTCCTGGTGTCATCAGTGTTGCTGCCACTGTGAAACTTAAAGTCCTCCAGTTTGGTGTCTTCTTCAAGGTAAAGGGTCCTTGACTTATCTGAAAATACATCACTGGTTCGTCTCAGTGGCTCTTCCTCATCACTGGAGCTGTAAGAGTCACTCTCACTCGTTTTATCCTCATCATCAGAGCACGTCACACTCAACGAATTATCGTTTTTTTTCTCATCTTCTTCTCTAACTGTCTCATCTGATCCTATTATCTTACCGACATTCATCTCCATGTCTCTGCTGAACAAGAACTCTTCTTCCTCTCCGTAATCAGCCTTCTCAGATGTTTCGGTCCAAAGGCTTCCCGTAACGGTGCTTTCCAGGCATTTTCCCTCCCCCGGCTGAGGAGAGGCTCTTTGTGCGTTAACTGGGTTTCTAGCATATTCAGTAGAGGAAAAGTCTGAGGGATACTCTGCAAAGCTCTCACCTGCCTCCTGGTGCTCCTCACCTGTGAAGTCTGACATTTTCTCATTGTAAACTTCACCATCTACTTCAGAAATGAGATCCTGCAGATTCTGGAAAGATATGGAGGGAAACTCCAAACCAGAATCTGCAGGATCTGCATTGTGTGGATTTTCTTTTTCCTCAGTATGAATGTTTTCTTCTTCAGTTTTCATGTTTTCATACTCGGATTCAGAGGAGTCCTCTTCTCCATCTACTTCCTCCTCCTCTTCCTCTTCCTCCTCCTCCTCCTCCTCCTCCTCCTCCTCCTCCTCCTCCTCCTCCTCCTCCTCCTCCTCCTCCTCCTCCTCCTCCTCCTCCTCCTCCTCCTCCTCCTCCTCCTCCTCACTTTCAGCACTTTCCACTGTCTTCTCATGTCTGCATTCAATGTCCTCTTCCTCATCACTGTCCACCTCTTCTTGGTTTGTGTCACTATCTTGAAGTTCATCAGAATCCTCAGAGTCTTCATCATCAATGATCCCATCCTCCTTTTTGAAATCACAGACATCACTGCTATGTATCGACATCAGTGTATCATCTTCTTCCTCATCTCTCTCAGCCCCCTCCTCTTTTTGTTCTTCTTCACCTTCAGTGCTTGTGTTTTCACCCTCCAGGGTTTTACTGCTTAAACTGATCCCTTCTAAATCCTCTTCACTGTTTTCCTCGTCAGACTGCTCTTCATAAGCATTCTCCTCCATGTTTAGTGCATCTGCAAGGGGGCCCTCTGACAAAGCTGCAACTTCTGCAGTTGCTTCCTGAAGCTGAGTCTCCTCTGCCTCCGTCGTTAGGTTTTCTGCCTGTTCCTCCTCACTCTTCTCATCAAAACATAAATTCTCAAAGTCCAAATCTCCCGTTGAAAACGATGGAACTGAACTGTCTGCAAGAAGAAAAATACTTTGACTAATACCCTAAAACTTAGAGAACATTTTTTTAAATCAAAAATATGTTTTCACCTGAAAACGCATCAGTGAGGAGATCAGCAAAACCCTCCATCTGAATGAAAACACAAATCAATCGTACACCAAGAATTATAGGAAGAATGATTTAAATTTGCAACAGACAGTCTCTCCTCTAAAAAAACAAAGACAGTAACTTTCTTCAGCTTTGGCTGCAAGTGGCTTCCTGTCGAACAGACCGAACATAAATTCACACAAAACCACTGAAAGATTAGCTGAAAATTAATGTCAAGAGCTATATACTTTAAATAAACTCACCGTAGATGATGAAGAAGAGGGAAAAAAATCTTTTTGGCTTCTGTGCAAAGTGAATTTTTTTAACTGTTGTTGTGTTTGTCTGTAGCTGCACAAGTACCTTCATGAGCTCATGAAATGATGTCAGCTTTGATGTGGGTTTGGTGTCAGAGGCACGACTCAAACTCCGGCAGATGAAAACGAAGGGGTGCTTCATGCAAAAACATTGTTCCCTGGCGCCACTGCGATGAGTGCAATGCCACTCTGATTAGGAGTGAGACTAAAAATACCAAAACTATAAGAGGGTTTTTTTCTTGATTGTTTTATTTTAATTAAAAGAAAGCAACAATTAATGTGTTCATTTAATATATGCTTAAATAAAGATGGTCTGCATTGATCTACAGCTCGTTGCGGAGTAGGTAGCGATGAGTGGGTTTCAGGTCAACTTCAACAGGAAAATGATCACTTACTTCAAGAGCCTGAAGTGACAAAGTAACATGAATATCATCATAACAAAAGCAGGATCAAGTTAAAATCCTTTATTTGCCATACATACCTCTTGCTCTGTGAGATGGAAATTCTCTTTAAAGTTAAATACTTGAGCTGAACCAGGAACCACACCAGAAATAATCTCCTGCCCATGAACGATAATCCTGCGTGGAACAATTGCAACAGCATATTTTATCTGGTATTAATGGTGGCCATCAGACAAAGAAAATACAAGGCTTTTAGATAAGGTTTCCATCATGACTTTCACTGAAGCTAAAATAATGTTTTATTCCCCTGATGATAAGAGAATAATCTTAGAAATATAACCAGTAAGAATCAGATGTATTTAACATGATTCATTTTACCAGGCTTTGGTTACGAAGTTTTATCCATAATGTGGCTAAAATCTACATTTTGTTTATCTATGTTCTAACGATCTTTAGAGTTCCTTGAGAGTTGTTTTGATTCGATGTTCCAGATTTGATTTTCTAATGTTATCACCTTGGGTCTGGATTCCAAAGAAAGGAACCACCAACCATCCAGGCCCTGTGCCAGATGAAAACAGCTGGGGGCCCCTGGAAGGAGGACCTTGGGGCGAACTCAAACACATATTTTGACATGTGACAGCATCACATGGAAATAAGTCTTCTAATGATAACCCATCATTTTCCTACTACTTCCTGTTGTCTTCTTCTCTATTAGTAATCCTGTTGCTGATCAGTTGATGTGAAAAAAGTGTTTTCAATGCTTCCAAAACCTCCTCATCATAGAGCAATATGTTTTTAATCAAAATTGGTGTTTTTCTGTTATTTATTTTCACATTTGATGATCGATGGACAAACAGCTGTTGTTACTTTCTGATACAGAGCTGCCTGGTGCTCAAATGCTCTTCATTAAATTTGCTGGTTTCTCTCTCAAACATTCCCTTTAAACTTAAGTCTTGATCTTAAAATATCAAGTTATCTGCAAAGGCTTTTGCATAAAGTTGAATGATATTAGAAAAGTGAATAGTTACTACATAGTAATATAAACTAGTGATGATAATATCTATTTTGATAAATCCATATCCTTCCTATATGTTCTTATAGTGTGTGCTGTTTTCCAGTTTGGGGAAAAGTTTTACTCTACATTCATTCACATGTTCACACTCATATTCACTAGGGGTGTGGGGAAAATCTTGATTTTATCTTGATTATTGGCTGGCCAATATAATATCGATTTAAAAATAAAAACATTTAACCTAAAACAATGAGAGAAAATGGGCTACCTCTGCACCGCCACTTTGGTAGATGGCACTGTGAAGCTCATTTTCTGTGCCACACAGCGAGATTTTTTTGGTTGAGGCAGTCATAGTAGAAGACATGGACTGACTCAAACCCCAAGCAACATGGATACCAAAATAACTAAATCATCAATATCCTCTGATGAATATATATACAGCTCTTGCTTTTTTATCTATAAATCGAATTTTGATAGCTGGGTAAAATATCACAATATACAGTGATATTTCAGTATCGTGATATTATCGTATTACGACACATACCGTATCGCAACATCCATCCCAATACTCATCCCTAATATTCTCATGCTGAACTTAGCCCCAAGAATCATTGTTAAGCATTTTGTTTGCTGCTAGTTATGCAGAGTTTGTACTTCAAGGGGAGAAGAATTGACCAAAAACTTTATTACACCCAAAGTACTAATGCATGTCTCTTGAAATCTAATAAGCTGCCAAATGCTTTAGCAATACTATGTTGCAAACACTCATATTACAAATATGGCTTAATATATAATGGAGCTCAACATTTTGTTTAAAAGTGAGAGAGAGAGATAAATGCTTCAATGAGGTTAGATCTTTGTAGCGCTCTTGGTAGTTAGTTTTTTAATGAACAAATGCTTTAGACTGCATTATGATGGAGCTGGTACTGATAAATCATATCTCATTAGATATCTTTTATGTATGCCTATAATTGATTTATACACAAAAGAAAGATCTATGTGTAAGTTTGAGTTTGACCTGTCATAGGCGCACCGAGTCCTCTCTCTGACTGCCGTGTCTTGTTCGTCTCCTATTAGCCAATGAAATTTGGGGTTATTCCTCAGACGCACAGCTTTCCACCCTTTAATGGTGACATAGTTGCAGCCGGCATTTAGGTCTCCCAGGATGATCACATTCTGGTGGAATTTCAAAAAGAAGCAAGCGGAGGAAGTATGAGAATAGTAATGAACTGCATGCATATAAAAGATAAACCAACCATGTTTTTGATACAAACAGAACAGAATTATTGAGCGACGTGGCTGATAACAGAAGAGTTTGACCTACGTCCGTTTTCCACTTCTTGTGAATCTGTTTGACGACACCGTAGAGCTCATCAATCTCCTTCATGGCTGATTTAGGACAAGTATGCTGCCCAATCAGGACAAAATCCTTCACCACTGAAAAAGAAACTACATTTAATAACAAGCTTACCTCAAAGCACCACATATATTTCCAAACATTGATTAATCTTTCTACAAATATCAAGTTTTCTCTCTGAATGAACTCTGCTCTGTTATCCCTTTATATCTTTATATACTCTATCCAAACAGACCTAGATCTACTGTATGTATGTGCAAATGTAACCACCCTGTTAATAAAATATGATATATATATAAAGATATCCCTTAAAAACAGTGTGTCAGACAACATTAAGTAGTCATCAAATGAGGCAATGGTAATATGATAACCTGGGGCTGCTTTGCTGCTTGAGGACTTGGAAGACCTGCAGTAACTGATGTAGGGAATCATTTCTGCTCTGCTCCTAAAACTCTCTTTGGTTTTGCAGCAGGAAAATTATCCTAATCAAACCAGCAAGTCCAATGTTTCACTCAGAGAGTCACATGAAGGCAAAATTAAGGTGATGAAATGGTTTAGTCAAAGTTTGGTAGATGGAGGAGCGTGACTCTAAACAGGTGGTTCAAACTCAAACATAGAATATTTCAACTATTATGCCTTAGTGGTAATATTAGTAAATACTGCAACGGGCTCCTATTTCCCAGATTTCATGAGCTGATGTGTTACTTACATGTAGTGGGGGACTGAACGCGGATGACAAAAGGCTCCCTGGAAAAAACTTCAGTCTCATTGGTTCCCTCTGCCTCCAGTTTAGGATGTTGGAAGTGCTCTTTGATCGTCAGTATGTTCTTCCTACAGCTCACAGAGGAGATACATGTGAGCATCTCTCCAGTACCAAGCTTGTTCAAAGAACCTGGCTTAGATCAAATCAACTGAATCACAATAAATTCAGTTTGACTTAAATCATTGCTCACCTGTAAATGTAGACGTATTGTTCTTTGTAGGTCTTCCTCCCAAGTCTTTCACTTTCCACGTAGGAATAGGAGTTGGATTTGTCAAATCTGTGGGCAAACATAATCAGGATATCAATGTGACAGCTTTCTTCCAGATCTCAGATTACAGATTCTCCAGAAAATCAAAAGTCTCTACCTATTCAGATCCTTAACCAAAGCTTTTATTGCTTCTCCTTTAGAGTCTCGGACCTCCTGAATGAGGCACAAGTCGCACCGAGAAACAATCTTGAGGACATAATTAAAGAATTTGTCAAACGCTTGGTTTTCCTCACGTTGATGCAGAAGTTGCTGTAAACTCAGACCAGATTACCTTCAGTAGAAGACCCATGACCCTTTTGTTGTTTGCCTTTGATTCACCAAAACTCTGAACATTGAAGGCACAGATTTTCAGAGAGGATGTGACACCGAACACACACAGCCCAATAAATAGAAGAAGCCCGGCTATCCTCATCTTGCAGACGTGTGAGGCTCTGTAATTTAAAATGGAGTAAATCCAGCTGCAGAAAGAGTCACAGAAGCTTCAGAGCGATGCTCAGGACCCCTGCTTACCTTCAGGGAGATGATCACCAGCAGATGGACCTTAGGCCAGCAGAGATCCAGCTCTGCACTGAACAGTTGTTCATTTTGGGGAACATACAGGTAAATGTGGCTTTGAAAGACAAGGGCTGTGTGCTGGGGATGTGCTGAATCAGTGAATTCTGAGAATGGAGCTTCATCTGGAACAGTTAGAACAACTACAACATAATGAACAATGGGACAGGAGCATTGAGAGCCGTTTGTCCCTAAAGTCTGAGCATTATCAGACAATAGAGGCTGCTGGGTGCTACATCTATTAGCTTCAGGAACAATTGCATGGAATGAGCCATAAGCACAGCCAGAAGTTACCACATAATACTGAGACATCTTCAAAAAGAACAATTATTATTATTTACCCCATAGTCAACTGAAACTTTTACTATTCAACAAAACTTGAATCTTTTTTATTAAATTAAATAAAAAATAAATTTAAAGTGATGGCATTGATAATATAACCACACAATTTCTTTATTACAAATATATATACTAACATATTATGTATATGTATATATTAATAAATAAAATAAGTAACAAGCCTGATAGAGCTGCCGAACTATACAGTTTGTTTTTTTTGCAACATTTTAAGGCAATCACTGAAATCGGGTGTTTTCTGTAAACTTCAGTCAGACTGAACCTCTAGACAGATCTCTTGGTTCACTATTCATGAACAAGGTACTTTAATTTCTCTGGGATAGTTCATTTTTATTTAAATTTTTTTTCTTTATTTGCTTTTTAAAATAACATTTCAAAATAATTTTTTTTTTTACTAAGCAATCATTTTTAGTCAATATTTGCATCACACACACACACACATATATATATATATATATATATATATATATATATATATATATATATATATATATATATATATATATATATATATAGATATAGATATAGATATAGATATAGATATAGATATACATAGATATATATATGTATAAATAAGTAAGTAATAATCTTCTGGTTTTGTCAACTCTTTTTTGTTTTTGTTTCCGGTCTAGTAAAAATCATTTCACCATCACTCTTATCTCAGACAAAACAACATCCTGCTTTCTTCCTGAATGGACCATTAGACATTCTCTCATGTCAAACCTTCAGGAACCAGTTTCCATCATTCCTGCTCTAAAGTCATGATCGTCACCCAATTTCTATAAATTGGATTCAAAATATTTGCAAATAACATATATTCTATTGATGAAAGAAAGAAATTATTTCAAAAATATTTGATGAAATATTAAAAATAGCATTGAGAAAGCACTCTACAACAAATAGGAAAAGCCACTTTGCGTTCTTTAGGTCTGTAAATGGGCCTGTTGTATAAATTAGATTTTCATTTCATGGTTTCATTAACATAGAGCACACTGCCCGGGTATTATACCATTACTATATTTATTTTATAGTTTTAGCCACTTTGCATACTTTGAAAGAAAATTCACCTCTTCTTTTTTTGCTCATGGGGGGCAGAGGGGTTGCTGTGAGGAGGCAGTTTTGGCCTGTTGGCCTTAAATTTGATGTTTGTAGATTAGGGCATTCCAGTAACCTGACCCATGATCCTGATGTGTTAATTCTTGGAATTATCTATGAATATGTAAACACAGAAATTAAGTTATTTAGTATCAATTTCCTCACATGCAAAATCTTGCAAAAGTATTCACACCCGTTCAGCTTTTTTACTTTTTTACTATACAACCTAAACCCTCCATGCATTTCTATTAGGCTTTAGGACAATAGACCAAAACAAAGCGATACATGGGTGTGACATGGAAAGAGTATGATGAAAATAAATCAAATTATGAAAAATGTGTCATACATTAGCATTTATTCAGCAGCTGCGCAAAGGGAGTTAATTGGCTGCTTTGTAATGTGGCGCTGAAACAATTATCTCTCTGAATGGGGATCAAAAAACAGAAATGAGTATCCATGTCAATAGAAACAAGAGGGAAGTGAAATGCTTTTACAACTACTATCAGAGAAGAAGGAGCCCAAATACCTTGATGTTCACCTGGACACCAGATTGGACTGCAGACACAAACATGATGCTTTAAACAAGAAGAGTCGGAGCAGAGAGTAGGCCTATTTCTTAAGGAATCTTAGATCCTTTTATATTTGCAGCAAGATGCTGCAGAGTGTGGTCTTTTCTCTTCTGCCTTCATCTCTTAATGACTTAAAGAAGCTCATCAAACTGACAAAAAAGTTCTGGAAAACCCTGTAGAACCACTGAAGATGATTTCACAAACATTATTTTATCAAATGAGGAACAATACAGAACAGCCTGAGCATCCTCGAAAATGTCTTCAATCAAAGGCCTTTCTAGGTTTGTTGCTAGAGAGACTGCTAAAGGAGACCCCACCCATCTCCAACTATCAACATCTACTTGATAAAGGAAGCCCTGTAAGAGTTACTCCAACATTAAATTCCTCTATGTGAGCAGTTAAGTATTTCTAAATGGAGTCTCAGGAGTAGAACCACTGAGTAACCCAAGCTCTACTGGATGAAGTCTCTTTAAATAGCAATATTAATTTGCTGCTAAGGATTCTTAACGGGATTGCAGCCTGGAGTTGACTGAGCCATCATATGTTTCCTCTAAATAAGTTCACCCTGATTCAGGCTGTATGTTTTTGGTGGAGGTTCTGCTGGAACATGCAGTACCCAGTCTTTTGTAGCCTCTAACAGGATTGAGATACGTATATTAAACTCCATCCATTTCCCCATCAACACAGATCATTTCCCCAGATCCTGATGAAAAGAAACCCTCCCCACAGCATGATGCAACCACCACCATGCCTCGTGTGGAATATGCAGTGTTCAAGGTAATGTGAAAGAGGTTTCTTAACATTTAGACCAGGACGTTAAAATCTGGACTGATCGAACAATCCGCCTTCTTCCATGTTTACTGAATACACTTTTTGAACTCTGGTACGGGAAACAAAACGATGATTTTCCTTTAACAATCATGTTTCTCCATGATCCTCCTTTATGATGGGCAGATTTGTGGAGCGGATTTAAGTGTTAACTTAGAGATACCTGAGTAAAAGGAGCTAAATGCACACATATGCATGTCCCTAGAGGTGAGAAGCCACTACTTACATTTCCTTAAGTAACATTTTGAAAAAAAGTGGGAACTTTTTTACTGCACAGTCCTTATTATTTATTATTACGTATTACTGTACCCAGAGTAACTTAAGTTAATAAATTCTTTTTAGTTTTATTGTCACTTTTATCTTTAGAGACTCTGATAACATGGATGGCTGGGAAATATACAGTACCCGTAAAAAGTATGCGTTAATACTGTCACTTTAGGGAGGTAGATTACCCTGTTCTATATAACAGAAGAAATGGTTCTTGTTTATCTTTCAATTATTCCTGTAATGGAAAATGTTACTTTTTTAACTCTTTAAAACAAAAAGAATTTGCTAAAACTTTCTACTATACTCTGCATGATTACATCATTAAATAGTAAAAGTTACTCAGTACTTGAATTGCCTTTTGACCAAATACTTTTTCACTTACTTGAGTAATTTCCTAAACAGTAGAAATATCTTGAAATAGTTTTTACTTGAGTACATTTATTTGGCATTCTACCCACTTCTGCATGTTGTGTTTTTTTAAGATATTTATTTGAAAGAAATTTGGCAAACTTGCATACATTTTTACTTCACAATTATGTTTTAGTCTGTATTTTTTTCAACATAAATAAAAATAAATAAATATATGAAGTTAGTTGTAATCTGTTAACACATGAAACCGATGTGAAACCCTTTGAATATGGTGAATTTTAAGATTTGTTTTTTTTTTTTAGGTTTAATATGAAATTATGATGAAATAAATTCAGATTGTGATGACTTGCAATAAGACCATATGTATCACCTCTTAACAAGTCTGATTGGTCAGATAATCAAAGGCACTTCCTTAACTGCAGCAACCGCAAACAAGAGATGTCCATCACTAAAATGTGTTTGGCAGATAAGTCTAAGACCAAAGCATTTCTTAACAGAATTTATAACATTAGCATTAAGGGAGAGTTTTATTCTAATGAATTATTTCAGCAAAGTAAAAAATAAATAAACCCAGATGAACATTTGAAACAATTTCTGAATAATCTCCTCACTGGTAGAGGACAATTTGAAATAATTTTGATTTAATCAAAAAGTTTATCTCTGATAGGAAATAAGAGAAATATTTCAAAAGATAGTAAAACAATGAAAATAGGGAATAAACAACAACAAAATATATAAGTTTAAGGTGGTAAATGAGATTATACACTTCTGGATATTCAACAGGAAAATCTTCAGGAAATTAGTCATTAGAGAACTTCTTTCTTTTTATACCTGCAGACCAGCTTTTTTGTTTGTTTCCACTTTCATTTTAACAACCAAATATGTTAGATGCAAAGGCCTCCTCACCATCACCTTAATCCTTAGCTCCATGACATCCGTTGACTTAAATCTGCCACAGGTACAGATGACCAAGCTTAACTGGAACATGAGAGGTTGCAGCTTTTTATTGTGTGAGCTCTCTTAATTTGAGCAAATAATCCTAATAATTCTTTCAATAACCCACGAAAACCAAAGCAAACCACTAAAACACAGATTTAATGTTCCTCCTTTGGTTTTAAAGATCCAGATGTGTTGTTGAGGTTGAAAAAAATGCTAGGAACCAGCAGAGTGCTTCTTCATCTGTTTAAAGACAAACTATTTAAATACATGTATTTATTTATTCAATTGAGGCGTCTGGGAACACAGTCCCTTTACAGTACAAAAGATGTTCCCTGTTTTTGCACTAATTTCAAGTTTAGACTCACAGTTTGTGAGCAAACAGCTTAAAAATGTTTTAAACATTGCTGAATTTTTTATGTCCTGCACTCACAGGTCAATTTTCAACACTTTACACAAACTTTGAGTTTCATGAAAACTACCACATGAACTACAAACATTCATACTAACTAACTTTTAAAACTAAACAAAATCTACAACAGTAAAGTCAACTTTAATTAGCTATAGTATCATATTGGTCTAAAACAGCCCGAGTGTTGGGGAGAAGCCATTTCCATGAGATAGTCCTCTATTCGTGTCTCTATGTCGGCCC